AGATGGAAATATCCGTTACATCCGTTAGCTCCCGATGTTCACTTTGATATATTTAGACTTGATAGAAACATCCGTTAGCTCCCGATGTTCACTTTGACATATTTAGACGTGATAAACGACGTGTTAGGACTTCAACCCGTCAAACACAGAAGAGAACGACGTCACCGTGTCTCTTCTATAAAAGTATAAAGAGTGAGCTGTTTGACTTTAGAGCGTCGTGTCTCCCCCTGCAGGCTGGTTCAGGCAGTGTAGCATCATCTCGTACAGTCGAGACGTCGACATCGGCATTTTCATCGAGGACTTCCGGTCGGACATCGTCGCAGCGTTCAGGAACGCCGGACTGTCACTCAAACACAAGTTTGGAAAGGTGAAAACTAAATACTTTTAATTTGTCTTTACAGTGTTTTATTTCAACAATATTTTACTACTTTACTTTTAATTTGTTTATTTAACATATTTATCAACTTTCTGCTTGTAAAGCGGGTGCGTGCGCTTTATCTTTAAGAATTTTTGTATTATTATTTTGTTTTAAATTTTCACTTTTAATCTGGTATATGTCAAGTTGGTATGAATTGATTCTGAAGTGTGTATTTTATTTTGATGGCATGTTTTATTTTGAAATGCAGGTGGGGGACAGTCTGGAACTTTCCTTTCTGAGTGACGACGTCAAACTGGACGTTTTCTTTTTCTACGATGATGGAGGCGTCGTTTGGAACGGAGGAACTCAGGCGAAGAGTGGAAAGAAGTTCAAGTAAATGTTTCTGTTATTTAATTTTAAAACTGTTTTTAAAAACCCTAAATATTAATGGAAGTAATTTAATCATACTAATAAACTAAGTATTTTTATGGCAGATTGTTTACGTTTGTTGGTAAATTTGTTTTTTGATGTTGAGGGGATTTTTGTGAAAAAGTAAAAAAATAGTTTTTGTTACGTCTCCACATTTTATTTTGAAACTGGAAGTTTCACAGTGTAACAGTTTTTTGCTATAAATTCATGAAAATGTTTTGTTATAAATTTCTCACCATTATCAACTCTTTATTTTTTGTGTTTTTGTACACCAGGTACATCTTGTTTCTCGGTGTTATAAACCTTGTTCAGTGGCGGGCCGTGCATTTTATACCTGGGCCTTCACTGCTGTCCTGCAGCTGAAATACCACCTTATGACCTCATGATGGCGCCACAACTACGGTTATTATTTGTTTCTAGGGGTGTAATAATACACGTATTCGTATTAAACCGTTCGGTACGAGGCTTACAAACCGAACAATACGTTTGAATAATACTAGTGCATTTGGAAAATGCAGAAGCTTAAATTGTGGGAAATAAAATGTTTTCTGTGCTCATGTAGGAGACAACGGGCTGTGTGACCTCTGAACCGGAACAAAAAACAGCTGGGGCTCCGCAAGTGTTCTGAGAGGCTACGCTGAACTAGCTTAACGGGAAAACAACAGCAGCAACACGCATTCTGCTACACACTCGAGTAAAAAAAATGAACCAGTTGACTTACCAAATGCTGATCACATCCTCCTTTCTTTGTTGACAGAGTTTAATCTCACGGTTAAATTCCAACTCACAAATCTGTTTCTCCTCCTTCAGCCATTGAGTGTTAAAAAACAAAGCTAGGTAAAAAAAAACAAAATCTACACCAAGCAAAATGCAAAAAATGTCATTTCTTCCATATCTTTCAATTTGAACTCTTACTACGGATACTACTCCGACTAAGCCTCTGCTGTAAATTTCGTTTCACGAGTCACGTGCTCGCCCACTGACCAATCACAGCGCACGCTGCACCTCACTGCAGAGCTGCACATGAAAACTGAGCTGCACGTAATGCTGACGTAGTTGTAGGCCAGCTAGCAGGCTCTGACACGTCAAAGAATATGCCTAACATGTCAAACTAAAGATCTGATTGGTTGAAGAATATGACAATCAACAATATCGTCCCCATTCACTTAAACTGCACATGGATGCACTTGTGAGTCTGCAGGCCTCTGCCTCTGTTCTTACCTAGAGACACAGAGGTGAGATCTGATTGGATGAAAGCTCTACTTAAAACAAGCTGCACTGGAAGCAGAGCCACTGAGGAAGACAGTAGCTGTGCAATGAGAACATAAGATAATGGGAAAAATATTTATATAAATTATAATACATGTAGTGTATTTAAGAAAAAAATTTAAATTATAAAATATCTATAACTTTGTGATTCTGTTTAGGCCAGCAGAGAAGGCCTTGAAGGCCCGCCACTGACTTTGTTATGAAGTATTTTTTGTGTTTTTGTACATAGGTACATCTTCCCCCGGTTCTCGTTGTGCTGGGCGGAGTTTCTGGAGCTGAAGGTTCGTGTTCCCTGTGAAACGCTCGACTACGTGACGGCGAACTACGGTTCCACCTGGAACGTCCCGGTGAGGAGCTGGGACTGGAAGTCGTCGCCTAGCAACGTGCAGGAGAATGGGGTGTGGCCTCCAGCCGAGTGGGTGGAGCTTATTCAAGTTTACTGAGAAGGAAACTACAAACACCGAAACTACAAATAAAGATGAAAATAAAACTAACAACAGCTGACTTTTTATTATCTGGATGACATCAACTCACATAAGTATAATAATAATAATAATAATAAATGTTTGTCACGATGTCTACAATGTCCTTTATATAACCATAAACTTCATCATTTATGAATTAAAGCACAAAAATTACATCTAAATTCTGTTTTCAGTTCAAAATCGTCCACAGTCATTAATGTAACATTTAATATAAAGAAGTTATAACTAATTATAAGTTTAAATACAACTCTGATCAAACTTCCCTCATTATTTGGACTGATTAATATGTGTATTAATGCATTTATTAAAAAGAGACATCCAAATAATATATAAAAAATAAACAGTATAATTTGATAAAATAAAACAAATTTCTCTTCAAACACTATCTCAAACTGCAGAACATTTTATATATAATATACATATACTTAAAATAAAATGTCAGCTGTCATTCAAAGTCCCTCCTGGTTGTGAGCAGACTGTTCATATTGTGATGAGTTCTTTAACTTGTATTAATGAATCATCTGATGTTCCTGTGAGTATGTTTATGTCCATAACGTTTTAATGTTTTACTCAGAATCAACTCTGAACTTGTTTTTAATTGCTACAGAACATTTTCACTGAATATTTCTATCTTCAAACTTGTTCCAACTTCACATTAATCTCCAGCAAATAGTGAAATTAATTTAAGTTTATTTCAGATTTATTATATCAATGTTCAACGTGTTCGTCCGGTGACGTCACTCCACCGCCGCCGCCTCACGCTGCTGCTCCTTGTGGACCACGTGACCCTTGCTGATCAGGTCCGGGATCTCCACCGCGAGCCAGGGTCCGAGTCCCAGCGCCATCAGGTGCGCGAGACCGAAGCGCGGCGCGTTCCGGGCCCAGAGCGGCGCAAAGTGGTCCGTGAGGCAGATCTTTCCGCCGCGGTACATCTTCGCGGTCTTACCGTCCAGCTCCGGGATCGCGACCTCGGGCGCGGTGTTAGGGTACGTCACCGGGATGTCGAACTCGAGCTGGAAGTCGTAGCGCAGCAGCTCGTGGATGAACCAGCACGTGCCGGTCCAGCGCGTGCCGTCCGCGTTGGACTCGAGGCGGAACCAGTCGTTGTCCGCCGCCTTATTCTGCTCCACGAAGTGGATCAGAGCCTGGTACTCCTCCTTCAGCCGCTGCGGCCACAGCGCGCGGTCCCGCGGCCCCGCGTGCGTCTTCTGCAGCGGGATCTGCGACACGGCCCTGCGCGTGGCGTCGTCCGCCATTTTCAGTCCCCCCAAAACAGAAAAAGAAAATAAGATTTAATTTAAAAAAAGAAACTGGTTTAAATTCAAACAGCTTCAGTTCGGGTTAAAGTTTGTCTTCAGTCCCGGTCTCCGTACTGACGTGGACTTCCGGTTGGACAAGACGGGCTGCGCGTCAAGACGAACCACTTCCGGTGTGGGATTTTCAAAATAAAATCCCCCACACTCCTGCAGTAATTACCTAGATTCCGGTCTAGAAATCGCTGTTCGGTGTGAGGTCGGATTAAAAAATCCAAATGAATAAACGTTTGTTTTCATCTATTTTTTTAACAGATATTTGTGTAAACAGACAAATTTGAGCAGTTATTCAAAGTTTAGTTATTGTGTCTTTTCCATGTTGTACTACAATAACAATATTTATTTTCATGAATACAATACTGTTTAGTTGTTAAGATTATAGAGAACACATTGAGACACTGAGTGTGATTTAATGTATATGTCCATTTCATAACCTAATATAGAATCATACAGATTGTGGTAATTACATATTTAATCCAGCTAGCGAGCATATATATATTGCTGATAATTAAAAATAAAATATAAAATAACCATTGTATTAAAACGCAAGGACAAGAAGTCGACTGGCGACTGTGGCTAAGTGGATAGCAGGGCCGTCCTTCAATCAGAGCGTCGGTCCCCGGCTCCGGCTCTGCTAGTCACATGTCGATATGTCCTTGAGCAAGACACTTAACCCCAAATTGCTCCCGTAGCTGTGCCTATGGTGTAGAAATGTGATAGACTCTGAATTGTAAGTCGCTTTGGATAAAAGCGTCTGCTAAATGACTGTAATGTAATGTATAAATGATTATTATTATATTATATTATTAATAATAATTTTATAATAATAGAAACATATTTTTTCATGGATAGTTTTATTTACAGGAACTAAGCTAATTATATATATTGCATCTAGCTAGCCAGCATATATATTATTGCTGATCATTTAAAGTAAAATAAAATGAATAGCTGCTTTATTAAAACTTTAAGAAGAACCGAAAGTGGCCTCTCTGTCCGACAGGTGGCGGTAGTTCACCAGGACGCTGCTTTTGTACACCAGCAGAAGAAGAAGCTACAACAACAGACTCAATCCGCCATTTTCTGTCTCTCAGCGGCTCTCTCGTCTGTTTTGTTCTGATTATTTCGTGTTTGAATCAAAACAGTAAAACTGTTAGGTTTGTTTATTTAACTGAAGCTTTGTGCCCGGAGCGCGTCATAGCCGCTGTGATGGCGGCCGACCGGCGCGAGGACAAAGGTGAGGCGCACGAGACAGGCGGCTTTGTTAGCATTGTTAGCAAGTGTGCTAATGTCTTTTGTTCTGTTGAGAACTGTCCTTTCAGCTGCGGATCGATAATCAGCGGGTGTATTGATCAGTTATTAATGAAGCTGTTAGTGACGTGTAGCCAGATACCACGTGAGCTAGTTAACGTGTCTCTCGTTCATTAATCACGACGTCAACCAGCTGCTAACCAGACTCCATTAAGAAAACTACTGGTTCTACGACCTCACTCAGAAAGTGGAATCTCCCTGTCTGTCTCTGTGTCCATCTGTCTGTCTGTCTGTCTCTCTCTCTCTCTCTCTCTCTCTCTCTCTCTCTCTCTCTCTCTCT